TGCAGCCCGGCTTCCATCGTGCGTTTCAAGGCGCCCGCGCTTCTGCCGCCCCGCTGCAGAGCTTCAACCTGATGCGACCTGGCACGCACTTTTTGGCCCGCGGGCGCAAGAATATCTGGCGCCAGCGGCAGGGCGCGCCGGGGCACGGCGAGGCACAGGGAGCGAGGGACGGCCAGAAAGGCCGAAAGAGGCGAGGGAGCCACAGTCTGGGCACGTAAGTCTTCGCCAGCGTGCCGAGGTGCCTGATCTTCCACGATCTCGTGCGCACTGGCAGCAAGACCTGACGCTGCGCTCGCCCCACAGCGCGAGTCGCGGCTGCAGGCTTTGTCTCACGTTCTCTCTCTCTCTCTCTCTCTCTTTCTCAATCTCTCTCTCTCTCTCTCTTTCTTGCATTCTCTCTCTCTCTCTCTCTCTCTCAGTTCCGCCTGAGGCGCGTGCCCTGGCCAGCCTGGCCGGCCCGTGTGCTCCTCGCGTGCTGGGGGCTGCGACCCGCTGCGCCCGAGGCTCCGGTTATTTGATGCCGCAGTCACCCCTTGGGCTCTGCGCGGCACAGCCTGCCAGACTTTGACGGCCGAGAGGGGGCGAGAACAATTGAAGCACAACGCCAGATGCTGCGTCTCGTATTGGGTCTGGGCAGAAATGCCAAAAAAAAACAAAACCATGTGACGTCATGCAGCTCAGACTCTGGGTGCAAGGAGGCAGAGGTCGAGACGCGGGTAGAGTGTGCAAAGTACATTACGAGACATTGAGCAACGATTGGGATACATTGCGCAGTTTCGGGGTCGAAAGTGGATGATTATTGGACTACTCTCGTCCACGGACATGCGCAAATGGGTTTGCAAGGTGCTGTTCTGGAACCCTGGCCGCATTCAGCGTACAAGGGGCCGCGTCTGTCGGTGGACGGGCTGCCTCTCGTGGACATGCGCGGCAAAATGTGGACAGATACGGCGCGGGACTTGGAGGAATGGGCCAATTGTCCGGGCCACTGCGCAAGCAGCCCCGCAGGCAACCCCGCTGTGGTGTCCTCCTCCGTCTCTTCGCGCGTCCTTCCCTCCCCCCAGACGGTTTTAGATGTCTCCGAACAGGCTGCTGCAGTAGCAGAAGGGCCCATTGGGGCAATAACTTGGCTTTATGTGTTTGTCTTTCAGTTGCCGTAGGCGGGCGCGCCAGCCTGCACGCAGCTTGCCGCTCATCCCCTGCATTGGGGCCTATCTCTGACTGCTTTGAGCGCGCCCGCGTGCACCCTTGCACCCTTGCCCCACGTGGCTTATCTTTGGCAACTTTCGCTGGCCAGCCCCGTTCGAAAACGCCAACATGGTCCTTCAAGGCCCTTGCGTTCTTGCCGCGCATCCTTATTATGCGACTTATATAATATACTTGGCTAGTCAGCGGTCCCAGTTTTTGAGGCCTCTCTTTGAATAAGGTTTCTGTTTCAAAACCATCGCCAAATCTACTAGTTTGCGTGTGCGACATCACCCACAAATCTACTAGTTCGGGCCTCACATCTACTATAGTAGATTTGAAAAACCTACCCGTATCTAGTAGTTTAGGTGCGCGAAACCACAACCAAATCTACTAGTTTGGGGCTCAAATCTATTATAATACATCTGAAAAACCTACCCAAATCTATTAGTTTGCGAGCGCGAAACCACACCCAAATCTACTAGATTGGGGCTCAAATCTACTACAGTAGATCTGAAACACCCTACCCACATCTACTAGTTTGGGTGCGCGAAACCACACCCAAATCTACTAGTTTGGGACTCAAATCTACTACAGTAGATCTGAAAAACCGACCCAAATCTATTAGTTTGCGTGCGCGAAACCACCCCCAAATCTACTAGTTTGGGTTTCAAATCTACTACAGTAGATCTGAAAAAACGACCCAAATCTACTAGTTTGCGTGCGCGAAACCACCCCCAAATCTACTAGTTTGGGGGTCAAATCTGCTATAGTAGATTTGAAAACCGACCCACATCTACTAGTTTGCGTGCGCGAAACCACCCCCAAACCTACTAGTTTGGACCTCAATCTACTATAATAGATCTGAAAGCGAAAAACATCTACCCAAATCTATTAGTTTGGGCGCGCGCACCCACACCCAAATTTACGAGTTTGGGCCCCACTGGTCGGAGGTGTTTCTACTTGCGACGTTCGAATGCGGCGGAGGGTGGCTGGGGGAAGGTCTCGTCTGGGTCTGGTGAAAAAAGTCGGAAGTTAGCTTCGGAGGTTTTGCGTGTGGTGTGTCACTCCGGTGCCGGTGGAGGCTGGAGAGAACGAAGCCAAGAGGGACGAGGTAGGACAGGCGGAGGAGGAGGAGGAGGAGGAGGACATCGCAAGGTAGGGGGCAGAGGAGGATGATATGGGGACGAAGTCGGACGGCGGAGGACGGTGGGATCGAGGGTTGGGCAGGAGGAGGGAAAGGAAGAGGAGGGAAATGCGGAGGAGGAGGAGGTGGAGGAGGGGGGGCGGGGCCAGCAAGGACGGGACGGAAGGGGAAGAGTTGGTGGAGGGAGCTCGTGGTCAATGCCCGCCTCGAAGACCCAAAGGTGTTCTTAGTGGGAAGGGTTCGTCCGGAACCGGAGGGAAAAGTCGGAAGTTCGCTTCGGCGGTTTTTGCGTGTGGTGTTTGATTCCGGTGCCGGAGGGACTGGAGAAAACGCAGCCAAGAGGGACGAGGTGGAAGAGGCGACGGACGAGGAAGAGGAGGAGTAGTTTAAGACATTATGGTGTTTTTGTTATTAAATGCAAAGTATAGCAACAACATTCATTTTTCATATCGGATTATGTTATTATTGTTGTTATTTTTGTTGGAACCCGCCCAGAGCCTCGGAGACCAGGACCACACCAGAATAAACCCCAAGAGCAAAGGAGTACGGCAGAATAGATCCCAAAAGCGAAGGAGCACGGCAGAACAAGACCAGGAACACGGCAGAATAGACCCCGAGAGCAAAAGAGTACGGCACAATAGGCCCCAAACGCGAATGAGCAGGCAGAAAAAGACTTGACTTGGGGCCGTCTTGGGGCCGTGTTGGGGGGGCCTCTTGGGCCGTCTTGGGGCGGTCTTCGGGGCCTCTTGGGCTGTCTTGGAGCGTCGGGAAGACGAAACGGCGAGAATGTAAAAAACATTGACAACACACATAGAACATCAACAAATTTAGCCGCTCGGGGCCCTTTTGGAATGCTTCTCGGGGGCCTCTAGGGCCGTCTCGGAGGCCTCTAGGCCCGTCTTGGGGCCATCATGGGCGTGTTGGAGCGCTCGTTTGGCGTCTCGGGGTTCTCTTGGTCCGTCTTGGGGGCCTCTTGGGGCCCTCTTGGCCCGTCTTGGGGCCCTCTTGGCGTCCCAAAAGCACACGCGAAACACCGCAGGAGCGCGCGAGAGCGCGCGAGAGCGCCCAGGAACGCCTGGGAAACCGGGGGTCCGGGAGGAGGAGGAGGAGGACGACGACGACGAGGGATGACAAGATTGTGATCCCGGTTTTATTTTCTCGTTTGCCCGGCTAGCCGGGCAATGATGGGGAGGGAGAGCGGTGGTGGTGGTGAGGAGCGGGTGGAGGAGGAGGAAGGTAAAAAGGGGCAGGAGGAGGAGGACGAGGGGCAGCAGGCGGAGGAGGAGGAGGAGGATGAGGAGGGATGACACGATTGCGACCCCGGTTTTATTTTCTCGTCTGCCCGGCTAGCCGGGCAGTGATGGGGGGGAGAGCGGTGGTGGTGGTGAGGAGCGGGTGGAGGAGGAGGAAGGTAAAAAAGGGGCAGGAGGAGGAGGACGAGGGGCAGCAGGAGGAGGAGGAGGAGGATGAGGAGGGATGACACGATTGCGACCCCGGTTGTATTTTCTCGTCTGCCCGGCTAGCCGGGCAGTGATGGGGGGGAGAGCGGTGGTGGTGGTGAGGAGCAGGTGGAGGAGGAGGAAGGTAAAAAGGGGCAGGAGGAGGAGGACGAGGGGCAGCAGGAGGAGGAGGAGGATGAGGAGGGATGACACGATTGCGACCCCGGTTTTATTTTCTCGCCTGCCCGGCTGGCCGGGCAATGATGGGGGGGGAAGCGGTGGCGGTGGTGATGAGGGGCGGGTGGAGGAGGAGGAAGGGAAAAAGGGGCAGGAGGAGGAGGAGGACGAGGAGCAGTGCTCCAACAGATGCCCACATAACGGCGAACTAGACTCTAGTTTGTCATTCTGGTGCCCACGAAAGGCCGCCGGAACGGCGAACTAGATCCTGGTTCGCCCTTTTGCTACCCCGAGAAAGCCCACAAACTGGCGAACTATACTCTAATTCATCATTTTGGTGCCCCCCAAAGGCCGCCAGAACGGCGACCTAGATCCTAGTTCGCCCTTCTGCTAGCCCTCCTGCTACCCCGGCCCCGAGAACGCCCGCAAAACGGCGAACCAGACTCTAGTTCGTCGTTCCGGTGCCCCCGAAAGGCCAGTTCGGGTGCGAAACACCTCCCCGCATCTACTAGGCGGGGGGTGGGGGCGGAGGAGGAGGAGGGGAGCAAGCGCAGACGGAGGATGCGGAGGAATAGGGGAACGGCGGTGGCAGAGGAGAGGTAACGAGGGGGAGGACTGTGGAAGCAGTACGTTCTTCGTCACGTTGATCGATCGCGCAGCTGCTTTTGCTCTGAGGCTCCAGAGTCAGGCTTCGCGGCCCTGGGAGGAACTGAAAAGGAGAGGGCCTTTTCAGAAAGTCGTGGGACTACCAGAGGCCTCCTAGATGGGGCCGGAGTAGCTGGGGCGAGGGGATCGCGCCGCATCGGCGATGCATCGGTGATGCATCCGCGATGCACTGGCGATGCATGCGACTTCGCATCGAGCTGCATCGGCGATGCATCATCGGCGATGCGGCGCGTTCCTCCGACCCTACTTCTCCGACCCCGTCCCATATAGGAAGCCTTGTTTCGAAGACAGGAGGGGGCTTTTCAGAGGGCTGGTGGACTTTTCAGAACCCTCGGACGGCCCGTCCCTTCAGTTCCCCCCTTCCCCCGCCTCCCCCGCCTCCCGCCGCTATGGCTGCCTCGTCGGACGACGAGCCCGCCGACTACCTCGGTCTGGGGGCCGAGGTGGTCGCGGCGGCCCTCGCGGCGGCCGCGCCGCCGCCAGGGCCAGCCGCAGCCCCGGCGGCGCTGCGGGGGCCCCGGCGGCGCCCCAGCTTCGGCGGCTCAGGCCGCGAGCAGAGAGCGACGACGACGACGACGACGACGACGGCGACGACGACGACGGCGACGGCGACGGCAACGACCCCACGGAGAGGGAGGAGGAGGAGGCGGAGGAGGAGGAGGAGGAGGAGGAGGAGGAGGAAGAGGAGGCGGAGGAGGAGCAGGAGGGGGAGGAGGAGGTTGAGGAGGATGCCCCACGGGTTGCGGTCGGCCCCCGGGCCCGAGGAGCCCGTTTGCGCGCAAAGCGCAAGGTCTGTCGGCTGCGGGCGCACGGGAAGGGGGGATGAGGGAGGGGCGGGGGTCTGTCTGGTATCGCGCCCTTTTCCCAGCCCAGGCGGCAGGCTGGGCGCGGGCCACGCTGCGGAGCGCAGCGTGGAGGCGCACCACGCCGTGTGCGCGGGCATGCGGGCTGCCAAGGCGCAGCGGGGCGGATCGTCGTCCTTCCGATAGCGGTGCCCGCATCGAGCGCGTTGATCGCGCCCGTTGCGGCGCGCGCGCCGGGAGGGCGCGCGACCCCCCCCCCTGCGAGGCAGAGCGGCGGTGCCGCGCCAAGGACGACGCGGTCAGGGCCACGTTCGACGCCGCGCAGGCTGTGTGCAGGACGTCGCCCGACCCGCGATCGGCTTCCTCAAGCGTCCTCCTCCCCGCTCGGAGCGGAGGAGGACGCGCGAGGAAACCAATCGCTTCCGAAACGCGGGCCCCGGGTCGGGCCGGGCGAAAGGGGGGAATTGGGAAAGGGGGGGTTACGAAATTTGCTGCATGCAGCTGGTTTCGGCTTCACCGAGGGGCCCAGTCCTCGATGCATAGCCGCCTCCGGCGCCGGGAGGCGCCGGAAAAATCAGCTACGTGAGCTGATTCTCAACCCCCCCCTTTGCTATCCCCCCCTATTGCCCGATCCGAACGCGAGGCTCGCCCCCCCCCCCCCCCCGCCCAGGAGCGCATTGCGAATGCCAATGATTCACGGTGTTTGGGGGATTTCGCTTTCGGCCTAGAACGCTCAATCTGGTGGGGGACTTCGAAGGGGTCTTGGATCTTGGAGGGCGTGGTGGGGTGGTTCTAAGTGGCCTCTGGTGCTTGTGGCCGCCCTCGCGTTGCCCCCGCCCCCTCTCGTTTGGTTCCGAGCGCGCCGAAAAAAATCAGCAGACCGCTACCAGGGCCGCGTCCAGATCTGTTTTCGCAACTAGGGAACCTCTGGCCAGTCGATCCCCGACGGGGGGATACCCCCCCCCCTGCCTGCTCCGAAACCTGGGGTGCCCGAGCCCTAATGGCTCGGACGATTAGAGCAGTGACCCGTGCCCGAGGAGGCCGTCGGACCTGCCCCTTGTGCTGTCCTCGAGCGGCGCCCTGGCGGTCAAGGACGACGACGAGGTCGGGCTGGCCCAGGGCTGTCACTGAATAGTTCTGGGCCCCGGGACTGCAGGTACCCCCCGGCCCCCCGGACTACTGTAGACTACAGGTGCCCTGGTTGGGGCCGCTGCCGCCGTCAACCCAGCGAACCATCATCAAACAAACACCATCAATACAATAAATAGGAGAGGTGGTTGACCAAATATTGCCCCCCCCCCCCCCCCCCCCAGATGGCCCAGATGGGCTCAGGTAAGGAACGGGTTTCTTCGCCGTCGTGCCATTCAACGCGTGTGCCCCACCCCCTCGATACCCGTTGCCGCCTTCTTTGTCTTTGATCATCAATTCGCCTCTTGAGGCGCTCTTGGGGCGCTCTTGGGCTCTATTGGGGCCGTCGGGCCGTGTCGACAGGCGCCCCTCCCTGGGCGACAGGCGCCCCTCCCCTGGACAACATGTACCCTCCCCAGACTACAGGTCCCCCCAGAACTATCGAGGAGTTTCATCTTCTTCTGTCGATTGGAGAGGCGGCAAGGGGGATGCGACGTGACGACGTCGACGTTGCACTCCCCGTTCCGGCGCCTCTCCCCTCCCCCCCAACTGCCGCCCGGGGGGGCCCTGCTGGGCCCGGCTCAGCCCCTCAAGGTGTGCGCCAGGGCCTCCGCCAGCGAGATCGTCGCAGTGGCTTTCTCCCGCGGGAGTCGCAGCCGAGTGGCCGAGGTCCACGATCGGTCCGCAGGCGATTCGTGGCATGTCGTAGCGGCAGGGGGTTCGATCTCCTCCTGCCGTCTTCGACCGCCCCCTCCTCCTACTCCTCCTCATCCCCCTCCTCCTCCTCCTCTTCCTCCTCCTCCTCCTCCCCCTCCCCTCATCCACCTCCATCCTCCTCTGAGCCTCCTCTTTCTTCTTTCCCCCGCCCTCTCCTCCTGCTACCAGAGGGAGGAGACATGATAGTGATGACACCGATGATGGACGAGGAGGATGCTACGAGCGGGCTGGTTGGCGGTGCCAGGCACTGTGGACAGTCATCGCATCCTGGCCGCGGCGGCCATCCACCGCGCCAATGACATCTGGCTGCGGCGACTGCGGGAGCGCGTCGTTGAGGATCGCCCATTGTGTGTCATCAGATCGTTGGCTTGGGACGAGACGACCGAGCGGCTCGCCCTGCCGCTGTGCCCCGAGGCATGCCCAGACGTTTCGGTCAAGAGCAGTTGGCACGTCTTGGTAAGTTGCGATACGATGTCCGTCATATACCCGAATTTCTCAGCCGGGTTTGCCTTCAACCGGCCCGTGATCCCGTTGGCGTCGACGTCTGCGAGTGCCATCTCGGCTGGCCTGTTCGACGCGCCACCCGTCCGGAAGTTCACGGAAACGGCCCGCTCGATGTCCGACGCCTCGCCCCCGTTCGGCAACATCCTGCATTTTGACAGGGACGGGGCTTCGGCGAACACCAAGCTGGTCGCTGACCATCAGATGCATCACGCTGCACGCGGGCCTTCCAACCTGAGCAGCGACATGTCGTGCGGCTCGCATCGCACCAACTTGTGCGAGTGCGCCGTCATCTCTGGCGGCGCACCGGAGAGGGGGCATGGGTGAGGGTGGCGTCGAGGTGTGCGCGCGCCCCCCTTCCGGTCCCCGACGGCCCGACGGCTTCTCAGAAGCCCTCAGAGAGAGATAGAGAGAGAGAGAGAGAGAGAGAGAGAGGGAGAGAGAGGTGGCGCGACGCACATTTTAACGTCTGATCACTCCCATGTCCCCTCTCTCGACGTGCCGCCGATTATCGTGAGTAACTTCAAAGACCTCCTCGGCGATCTTTATTCCATGTGTCTGTTCTTCCGCATGGGCGGCTACTGGATGCGGCTGGTGCACGGGCAAGCAGCGTTGCTCAGGGAGCCAGGCCCCCCGTTTGTGAAAACGCAGACGGCGGTAGATGATGATGTGGGGGAGGCGAGGCGGTGTCAGCGGGTAGCGGGGCGACGGGGAGGTGGGGGCCTGGGGGATTGGAGGACGTCGGGGGACGGAGGAGGACCGTGTTAGGCAAGGGGGATGAGTTGAAGAGGGGAGGAGAGGGGCAGGGGCCCGGCCCGGCCCGGCGCAGGCATCATCCGCGTCAGACGTGGAGCGCCTCCAGCACTGGCCCTGCGCGCGAAGGAGGCAGCTGGCGACGGGGGCGACCCCCGTGACCCCGTGGCCCCTGCAGCCCGCAGCTCCTCCTCCTTCTGCTCTTGCCCCCCTCTCCTCGCCCCTCCTGCTCCTCCTGCTCCTCGCCCTCCCTCGTCCTCCTCCCTCCTCCTCCGCCTCCCTCCTCCTCCTCCTCCTCCTCCTCCTCCTCCTCCTCCTCCTCCTTCTCCTGCTCCTGCCCCCCCTCCTCCCGCAGTCCTACACTCTTTCTCCGCCTCCGCCTTCCCCGCTTGCCCGCCCCCCCCCCCCCCCCCCCGCGGCCCGTGGCCCGGCCCGTCGACCCTAGCTCGCCCCCCCCCCCGTGTTTCGTCGGACCTAGGCTTCGGCCTAGCGTGCGGCCGCTATTCTATGGGCGTGCGAACTGTCCAACGAGGGGGCTTCTGTGGCATAGAGGCCGATATGCCATGCTGCGCCATGCTGGGTCACAGCGCCGATTTGGAGATTCTAAATCAAGCCCTCCCCGCCCCCCCCGTCTCAGTTAATCCGGGACTACCTGGTCACGAACGTTTTCTGCTGGGACAAGGCGACGAAGGTTGGCCCCGCCCATGAGGAGTCCGTGGCCCGACAGCGGCAACGCGATCGAGGGCGGCCGAAACGTCGCCGAGGGCAGGCCCGTCCCCAGGGGTGGAAGTTCTTGTCTGCCTTCGATGCCTTCAGCGAAGTGTTCAACGGTGAAGTCACAGATCCTGCCTGGTGCCATTATTGTACCTCTAGAATGTGTTGCCGCAATTACGATATTGATTTTACCAGACAACGCTTGTTGCGAGCCGCCGTCAATTTCCTGTACCCCAAGCTCCCAGGTGTGCCGAACTGGAATAAGTGGACTAAGACTGGCCCCGCGATCGATTCCATCTTGCCCCTCGTGTGGTACGGTCGCCTGTTTGACCGGCTGATGCACGCTTCCTTTTCGTCACTGTCTACGTCGCTTGAGAAGGCGCTGACAGGTTCGGGATCTGGGTTCGGTGCCGAGGAAACAACGTGGCATGAGATGGCAGGAAAGCGCCTCCACAGGGCTTTGAAGTTCGCGGACAATCCGACTACCCGAGTGGCCTTGACTATTTTCGCGGTGGTATTGGAACCGCTCCGATCAATGACTTATTTCTTCATTAAGCACGGTCACGCAGTCAGCGCCGGGGGCGGCGACTACCCTCCATTGTGCGACCTCGTGGATGATCGCAAATCTGTTGTCGTTGCTGTTCTTCAATACTATGCCATGATGTTAAAGGGGATCGGTCGACGGGCCGAGCTCGTCTATGCGGTCGGGGACGGGTGTTCGTCGATGCTGCAATGGATATCGGCGGCGCGCAGAGACAGGGGTTTGGCCAGGGGTGGGAGGGCCAGGGTGGGGCTCTAATCGATTACACGCAAGAGTGACCCTGGGTAAGAGTGACCTTTGATGCGCGGCTTCTCGAAGGCGGTGGGGGGGCCAAGCCCGAGCGCACGAGACGCTAACATCGCATCGCGGTCGGCGATCGGTGGACCCCATTGGGCCCGCACCAACGGCCACTCCAGCGAACGGTCATTCTCACGCGCAGTCGATCTCAGAGGCCTTCTGTGCGGGTCTGGGTCGCTTCTGGGAATCTCTCGGGCAACTTCGGAGACCCCCCCCCCCGCTTCTGCGTCCGGCGCGGCCCTGCCCCCCGCCCAAACCCGCCCGCCCGCCCTGCCCGCCCGATCCCCTTTGTGCGCCGCCGTGGGTGCGAGACAAACCGGATAGCGTCAAGTTATTCCGCCGGGCCATTTTGACTTCGGCGAGTTGGATTTTTCGGAGGCACGCCCACCTGTTTCGCCAATGGCCATGGAAGCTTGCCGGCATCCCATATCAGAGGAAGGACGGGTGAGACGCGGGTCGCCCTGCTGGTTTGGTCTTCGATTCGAGGGCCCCCCTCGCCCCCCATGGCCAGACGCGGCTCGAACAAACGCGCGCGTTGGAGTTCAGGAGAGGTCGGCAATGGTGAATTCGGGGCACCGTTGTCGCACCGTCGTTGTCTCGTTGTCTCACGTGGCCTTCCTCCGACCAGACTTGCGTCGCCCGATTTCCGACCGCGTGGCCATTGCCCGAGATTTCGTTGCAGATAAATGTCTGGACCTTTACTTTAGCCGTCGCTTGAAGACCCTGGTGCTCGGCGCACTGCAGTCGTCGCCGCAGTCGGCGGCGGATGCAGACTTGATCCGTGCCTTGTTGAATCCCCAATGGTCGGCAATTCTTCTCAGTTGGGCACGCATGGTCCGCGTCGCCATATGTCGCATTGAATTTCGACACGCAGCGCACCGATCAATCGCCCACGAGAAGATGTATTGGCACAATTTCGTCGCGGTGTCCACCAATCAGGATAGGCCGGAGGCGTCGCAATCCCCCATGTCGATCCTTCTGTACCCTTCCTCCTCCTCCTCCTCCTCCTCCTCCTCCTCCTCCTCCTCCCCCCTCCTCCTCCTCCTCCTCCTCCTCCTCCTCCTCCTCCTCCTCCTTCTCCTCCAAATATTTCCTCCCCTTGACCTTCTCCGCCCATGCCCATGTCATGCCGTTCGGACTGCCCCCTCGCGCCCTGGCCGCCCTGCCCTTTGCGCCGAGGGCGAGGGGGCGGAGGGGGGGGAGGAGGAGGAGGAGGAGGAGAAGGAGGCGGAGGAGGAGGAGGAGGAGGAGGCGGAGGAGAAGGACGGGCGGGCGGAGGAGGGCGGAGGAGGACGATGAGGAGGATAAGGGGGCGGGGGCGGAGGCCGACGAGGAGGGCGAGGAGGAGATCTCGATGCAACTTCTGGATGATCTTGCCCTTGTCAGGCTCAGACTCTGGCCCCATCCTCCGTTCGTCTCGCCCCCGCCAGGAAGCCTGCCGACTCCGACTGGAGCACGTACTCGGGGACGCTACGCCCGTGGAGGAGGAGGAGGACGAGCGGCTCCCCCGTCCGGGCGCACTCAGAAAGAAACAGACTCCGTTCGAGTTGTTCAGGGCAGAACTGCGCCGGACTGGCGCCATCACGGGCTCCAACAAATTCAGCGTCGCCTTGGGCATGGACATTCGCCGTCGTTTTGCCCAGTTGGATGAACCAGAGCAGGCCTACTGGAGACGCCAATCGGATCTGTCGGCGTCCGAGGCCGCCATGAATAGGGCGTTCGCGACAGAGGCAGCGGCAGCGGCGGCGCGGATGCGGGGCGCCGACGATGTCCACAGCGTCCCAGCTCTACTGCCACGGCTGTCGCTGCCGTCTGGGCCTCGGCATCGGTCTCCCCCGACTCCTTTCCTCCTTTGCCGTGGCTCGGGTCGGGCGAAAGGGGGGGATAGCAAAGGGGGGGTTTGAGAATCAGCTCACGTAGCTGATTTTCCCGGCGCCTCCTGGCGCCAGGAGGCGCCCATGCATCGAGGAATGGGTCCGGCGGCGGGGCCGAAACCAGCTGCATGTAGCTGGTTTCGTAACCCCCCCTTTCCCAAACCCCCCCTTTCACCCGACCCGAGTGGCCCTCTACGCCTTGTCGCGCTGCCCCCCCCCCCCCCCCCTCCCGCCCCCCCCAAGTTTCACGCCTGTTGGGCTGGGCGTTGTTCGTTGCTTTTCGGTCGATCGCCCCCTGGCCCGACTCCGCCCATGGGGGTCCATCAATGCTCGATTCCGGTCGGGCGGCCCGGCCCGGCCTGGTCCTGGCTGTTTCCGATCGCCAAGTTCAGTGCGGCCAAGCTCTCGAACTCGCCGGGGTCAGATCCGGATCGACCTCGCGGGGGCAGACTGGGGAGGAGGAGGCGGAGGAGGAGAAACGAGGGGGCGGATGCGGGAGGGGGGGTGGGGGGGCGGAGAAGGATGACGCGGGGGGCGATGAGGAGGGGTGGATACGAGGAGGCCGAAGAGGGAGGCGGAGGAGGAGGCGGAGGACGACGAGGGGAAAGTGGAATGCCGGCGGGGATGCGAGGCAGGGGGCAGCGACAGCGAGGCAGGCTGAGGCAGGGAGGTGACCGGTGACTGTGAGTGACCGGGCGGGGGACTGAGGCCCGCAGCGCCTGCGGCCGCACTGGCACCTCTGCCGCCGTTCCCGCCGCGGCTCGCCGCGGACGCAGCGGCGGCAGCGGGAGATGCGATCGCGGCGGTCGCAGACGGCGGCCAGGGCGCGATCGCTGCGGCGGCGGCGCCGGCAGCGGCAGCCGCCCCCCCCGCGGCAGTGGCGGCGGTGGCCCGAGCGTTGCCCATCGTCAGCGCTCCCTCGATGGCGCCAGACGGCGCGGCCCAGCTTCCCATAAGCGTCAGACTCTCCCGCCCGCCGCTCACCGCCCCAGCGCTTGACGACGCCTTGGCCGCCTGGAAAGTCGCCGGCCTGAACCGCGCAGGAGTTGCGGCTGGTTTCCGGGCAGAACACAGTTCGTTGACGTCGGGCCGTGGCGACATGCACCCCAGCTTCATAGCCGAACCGTGCAGCTGCATGTGTCGCAATCACGATCTTGGAGCCGAGCCAGCTTTCCTTCGCTTGCACGACAATCTTCGCCGATGCATCGAATCGCAGGCGACCCGGTCGGAGGTCGGGGCAGGATCGAGCCGAATGCCGCCATCTGCCACGCCTGGCCGCGACCTCTTCTTGGCGGTCGAGTTGTTCGGTCGGGGCAAGTCCGTGTGTATGCATTGGGCCTGCTTGCCGACAAATTCCAAGGTCGTCGGGGGGTCCGAGTCGCACTGTCCGGTCGGGCGGTGCGCCCGCCCGTCCCGCCGCCAACAGTTCGTCGGCCTCCGAATCGCCGGGCTAGGCTGACTGGCAACTGGGCTCTTGGCAGCCTGGCAGCCTGGCAGCCAGGTCGAGGGGAGGTCGGCGCCGCGCGGCGGCGGGGCGGGCGGGCGATGTCCGCGAAGTCAGCGGACAAGGCGCCCCTCCCCCAGGCAGCAGGGACCGTCAAGGCCCGGGTCAATCTCATCCCTATGGAACCCAACGTGGCGTGCACGTCAGTCGGCCACGCCATTCACGCCGGTGCTCATTTCGCCCCCATTGCGTCGGCCACTGGGCACGTGCCGTCTACAGCTTATACGTCCTCGCCGTTCGATGAGGTCCTTCAGCATGCTGTGGCCGCTTGGGATATGCAGACGGAGGATTCATGGTCTGCCAGGATAGTGAAGCAACTGCAGGCGGCACTTGATGGTGATTCGGTGGGTGTGTCGATAACCGTTCAGCTTTGTGAAACGGCCTTGGTTCCTGAATCGAGATCTCCGGACGTGGTGAAGGTGATCCGCGGGGGCTCGGTCACTACAGTGACTACGCGTGCTTCGCGGCCAGCCACCAGAGCGGATGATGCTTCAGATTCGGACGCCGATGTCGACTACGTGACGGGCGTCGCAGCGCGGGCGCCGCTGCCGCCAGCGGCGCCCGTGGAGCCACCCGCTGGCGGATGCGGCGATGGCGTCGGGGGCGCTGCTGCTGGGTCCACCCTGGGGTTGGGGAAACTAGCCCTCCTCCCCCGAGGCCCGAGGCCCCTCCTCCCTCCTCCCCTCCTCTCTCTCCCCCCGCTTCCTCCTCCTCCTCCTCCTCCTCCTCCTCCTCGCACTTCCTCTCCTCTTCCCCTCTTATCCGCCTCATCCCTCTCCTCGCCCCCCCCCCCCCCAACTGAGTTGGGGGGGCATATAGAGAGAGGGGGCGAGAGAGCGAGAGAGAGAGAGAGAGAGAGAGAGAGAGAGAGAGAGAGAGAGAGAGAGAGAGAGAGAGAGAGAGAGAGAGAGAGAGACGACGACGACGACGACGACGACGACGACGACGACGACGACGACGCTAGACCGCGGGAGGAAGAGGCAGAGTGGACGAGAGACGAGGGCGACGCACACACACATATATATATATATAGAGATATAGAGAGAGAGCGAGCGAGAAACGAAGAGAGAGAGAGAGAGAGTGAGAGAGAGAGAGAGGGAGAGAGAGAGAGGGAGAGAGAGACAGCGGAAGAAGAGGGAGCGAACAATAATCTGGGACGGAGACGGACCAGACAGACGAGCCGGCCCGCAGGTTGGATTGGCTTGCCTCGGAACTGTCGGCGCTGCTGGACCTTGACGAGGTGCAGGATATCTTCGATGACATCGCCTTCCACGAGGTCGACGATCCGCCTGGCGCCGCCCCGGCGGAGGACGAGATGCGCGAGGTGGGCGACGACGAGGAGGACGACGACGAAGAGGGCGACTGCATGGATACATCTCTCGACGCCCCGCCTGGGCTGCCTGGGCCCGTGCCAGATTCTTGGCCCATTGTGAATGCCATGGCGTGCCCATCGACATCGACCGTCGACACGCGCCAACTTCTGGGTCTTGTTCGCCACGATGACTGGTCCTTTTCTCGAGCTGGTGAAAAGCTTGGCACGATATATTTTGGCCCCTTTGCCAGCGGGAACTTCATGAGGGTGGTGTGCTCTGTTAAATCACATCGTAAATGCTGCTTCATGCTCCCAACGGCATCCAAAGCAGACGGCTCGATGATCATGCCGCAGGTGGAGAACGACATGATCAAGTGGTTCTCTGGGCCACTGTGGCCTTTCTCATGCTTGCAGCCCCCGCGAGCATCCCGGAAAGGCCACGGGGAGCGCTCGCCCCGCCCTTCCCCCCCCCCTGGGCCCGCCTCTCCTCTCTCAGAACTTGTAACTTCCCTCTCCATCCCGCCTGGCCCGCGCTGGCCGACGCCCCCGACGTGCAAGGGCCCGGCCGGGGAACGCGGATTGTTCTAACCAACAGTTGGGGAGCGGGCGAGGGGGGCGGGGGTCAAGGGCCCTGGAGGGCCTTGCCGCGGAGGAAATGGAGAGACGGAGGGAGGTGGGGCGCGGGGCGGATTGCGCGGGCGCGACGATGATCGCGCGTCGCGCGCCGCGGCCTGGGTTCGGGCCGCTGACCTTCTCAGGGGGGGGATGGGGCAGCGGGGGATGGCGCCGGGCAAGCGCGGGGCGAGGGCGCGAAGTGACTGAGACGCGGCGGGCAATGTGCATGGAAAGAATGAGCCCTAGCTCACAAGCGCAGACGTATGTGCTTTTTTATGGGGGGTGCGGGGGGTAGCCAGGCTCGCCTACGGGGCCGCTTGCGACGCCGACGCCCACGTCGTCGCGGGAGAGACGCTGCGAGAGTCGAAGTACAAGATCAAGGTTGAGCAGGGGCCGACCGTCCCGGCATTCCCGTAGCCTGTAGGCCTACCACGAAATTTTCTTGGAACCCACACATGTTCTAATAATGAATGATGATGTTCTTAGAGCATTAGCCCGATGCGTTAAAACAAGGCGGTCTCAGTCAGAAATGTTATGAGAATTTTTTCGTGGAAGCCACAAGCGATTCTTAGCTCACTGTTTGGTAGGCTTATAGGCTATAGGCACGCCAGGACGCTTCGCCAATGCTTGTCTAGGTGAGGAGGAGGGCGCTGCGGCCGCCTGCGCCGGCTGGGGCTGGGGCCGGCGCTGGCGCTGGCGCGGCGAGTGCCGCTGGCGCGGCTTCCTCTGGCGCCGGTGGCGGCGCCTCCTTAGGCTCCGTGGATGGGTCCGCGAGCACTGTGCCGCTGTGAGATGCGCCTCGAGCTCCTTCCAGGATTTCAGGCCCCACCTTCCCTGGCCCTCGTTCTTTTCCCGGAAAGGGCGCCGGCCCAGGGTTCTCTTTTAGTTGGTGAGTAAACCTATCCCCGGTGCCTCAACTGAGGTGGGCTGGCGGATTCTTTCCCTGATAAATATCGAGGTCGAGGTGGGCCAGCGGAGTAATATTTGAAGATGTCTCAGGCGAAACTCTTGTTTGTGAAATCCCGATCGCTAAATCGCACGTGAGGATGTCTCGAGCGAAACGCTTGCTCCGCAGCGTTGCCGAGGATGGATGTCTCGAGCGACCCACTTGTTTTGTATACCTTGAAGTGATCTGGGCGCCCCAGAGAGTTGCCTTCTCCAGGCGCGCGATCGGTCACCCCCCGCGTCCTCCTCCTCCTCCTCCGAGGACGACGAGACGACGACGCCGACGACGACGACGATGGCGATGCGACTACGACTACGAGGGGGATCTCCTGAGGGGGCGACGACAGGCAACCACTCAAGCAAAGCAGCCGCGGACTCCCAGTGCCAGTGCGTTTGATGAGTGGCGTCCGTGCCGTTGCGTGCATTACGCGGTTCCTCGGCGTCGCCAGGGCCGTTTTGGTTGAGTGGTTGCCTGTCGTCGCCTCCTGTGTTTATGATGAGTGGCGTCCACGTCGTTGCGTGCGTTGACCTGCTCTTCGTGGTTGTCTTGGTTGAGTGGTTGCCTGTCGCTGTGACTCTTAAGTCTGGCCCCCCATGACCAACCTCCCAATGATCTCAACTATTGCGAGGGTTCTCCGAACCCCTTTCCTCAATGCGGGACCTCGACCGTCCGCGGGTCCCTCCACGGTCATCGCGTGTCGCGTTTTCGAGCATCGTCCAGCCGCGGCGACGCGAGGTTGCGAGCCCGCGGCATGCGCCTCCGAGGGCCCGGATGGGGCGAACGGGGGGGGGGGGTCGGTGAGAGCCAGCGTGCGTTGCGGGGGGGAGGTCGCAGCGGGAAGGGCTCGACAGCCATCGTTTTGAGCAGTCAACCGTAGACCTGTTGTGCGGTAAGGTGTGATTGGCGCAGCACATTTTGGCATCTTCGGCTTCGGCTGGGCCGCTGAGGCTCGAGGTCGAAGCCGAGTCAGGATTGTCTAAGCTCTCCGCCCCCCTGGCCGCTGGCCGATCCGAACGGCAGATGCCCCGGGCGCCCGCGCCATTGCCATGCGTCCCCGTGCGATTCCAGCTGAGCCTGGTCAGCCCGCCGATTGCTGAAAGCGATGCGAAGGATCGTCGGACCTCGGGCCCACCTCCCCCTGGGCCCTGGGCCTCAGCAGGTCAGCAGGACCAGCCGTGGGTGTTGGGGCTCTCGGGGCCCATGGCTCGGCATTAACGTTTGACGCCCTGAGGCCCAGACCCCTCTCTCAGTCGCCGCGGCTTGGCGCAGCTCGGAGCTCAGACAATTGAACTGACCCGCCTGGGGCCTGGGGGGCAGTTCGCCAGCCCCTCGAGGACGGGCCCCTCCTTGCCCTGCACGCATCGCACTGCGCTGCGCCTGAGCTGGCCAGGGCGCGGGGACGATCGCGATCCCCTCGTCGAGAATTCCACGAATTAGTAATGGCGATCCTCGGCGATAGTCACTGCCGCCGCCAAGCTAGTGGACGCGGGTTCGCGAGCAGCACCACGCTACCGCGTTGCGCCACCGCTAGGACGTTAGGTCCGGCCAGGTAGGCGGCTTGCGGCGCGCGCACGCATGCAAGGCAATACCTCCGCATTATGCAAGGACGCAGCTGACTGGCTGGGGCTGTGGGCTGTGGGGTCGCGTCAGCCACCGCCGCGGGACAATATGTCACCAACGCCACTCTTCACAATTGCCGCACATCCACAACTTCCTCCACGCCTACCCCCTACCCCCGCTCACCCTCGCCTGCTCTCGGTGGGAAGGATAGAGGGGCCATCCCGTGTCGCGCGTGCCCAGCCTGCGGGCAGGTCGACCGCGCGAGGCCCGTCGTCGCCGTTGATCTTGGCGACCTGTAACGGACTTGGCCGGACCCCCCTACCTATCCTTTATCCTCCCCCTACCGATCCTCGATCATCCCCCTACCTGTCCTCTATCCTCTACCCCCTGCACCCCCAACCTCCCCTCTATCCCCCCCCCTACCGCGTATATCCCCCCGCGTCCTGGCCTCGCCTCCACCTCCTTTCGTCTTCCTTCTGATGATGCCACTACAACTGCGGTATACAAGCACACACTACATCACGCATGCATGATGCAACTATGACAAATTCGGATAGTGACGCGACGTGCTGGCATCGGCTGCATGGCAAATGCAGGATGCTAGCCTCTTACAGCTCATCAGGTCCATGTCACTTGGCAACCGCCTTGTCTCTCGGTCTTTCGGGATGGGATTGGGCCCCTTTCGTTTGGCCGCTTGGCCGATTGCGGCCCGCCCCCCCCCCCCCCCCCCCCCGATCAAGGCCCGGCCCCTCCCCCACGCGGTGCCATCCCAGAGGCGGCGGACGACGACCGAGACTCTGGCAATAGCAGGAGGAGGGAGGAGCAGGAGGAAGGACGAGAAGGAGGAGAAGGAGGAGGAGGAGCAGGATGATAAGGAGGAGCACCTGCCAAAGCTGACTCACGACTCGCGTATCATCACGAGGGCCCTGTCTCGATCCTTCCTTCCTAGCTGATTACGCATTCTGCATTCAATTAAATTGCATTGCCACCGCTGGACCGAAGCCGCATCGCAGCCTCGAGGGCCTCGAACTCGCGCGGCGAGCCCGCGGCCGCAACTTGCAGCCTGCAGCTGCTGCACGCGACCCCAGATCCCGCGTCGGGCGCAGGGTGCCAGGCTTTCCCATGGCCAAGGCCAAGGCCAAGGCTAAGGCGGCGGCGGCTGCAAAGCAAGGGCCACAGCCGCAGCCAAAGGCTCAGCCGAAGGCGAGACCCAAGGCAAGCGGCGCGGCGTCGGCTGGGGCGCGCGGGCGCGGGCCCAGCGGCGCATCGACGCCGCGCGCCAGCCCTGCCGCCTTTCCCAAGGCCGGCGCCGGGCGAGACACCACCGCGGCCTTGGGCAACCGACCAGCGCAGGAGACTGAGACCGCCGCTGCAGCTTCGGCCGATGACGGCGCACGCGCTGCGGCCGCGGCAGATGCCACCTTGCCGATGCCAACCAAACGTCCACGCGTGGACAAGGGGGGGCATGGTCAGGGCGCGGGCGCCAGCCGAGGTTCTCGCAATGTCGGGGATATGCTGCGGGCTTCGCGGGTCCCAGAGACAGAGATCGACGCCGATGCGAGCTCCGCCGCCGGCGTTCTGGCAGCGCCCGCAGTGCCGCCTCACCAGCCGCTCCCTGCAGCGGCTTCAGTAGCAGCAACGCCTCAGCCTGAGACGCCCAGGACTCCCACCAGGACACGCTCGCCCCGCCGCTCGAGCCCTGCGACCCCCGCCGAGGCAGTTGAGAGAGCGCCATCGGACTCGTTGGCGGCGGCGGCGGCGGCATCGCCTGACCCGGGCGATGAACCCCTGTCGGTTCTGAAGCGCCCAGCGGCAGCGACCAAGCGACCAGCCGCAGCAGCAACACCCTCCGCGGTCAGCCCATCTAGCTTGCAGGCGGCGGCGGCAGCGGAGGCGGCGCAGGATGAGGGTGCAGACGGGCCGCGCCCAACAGCAGCGACGGTGGATGCGACGGCGGCAGCAGCGGCGCTGGCGCCCCCCTCTACATCGCCGGCGGAGGTTGGCGTCGGCGATTCCCCTGGCGAGGTAGAGCAGGCGTCGGCGGCGACTGCGACGGCGACGGCGGCTGCCCGGAAGCGGCCAGCAGCTGCAGGGGCAGCTGTGAGAGGTGCGGCGACCAAGCGCCGGCCTGCGGCTGCCGCAGCTGCAGCCTCAGCGGCGCCGGCGTCGCTGGTCGAGATGGATGCCGAGTCCGCCCAGGACGACGTTGCCGCCTGCGGCGAGGACGCGGGATGGGTGTGGATAGATGATGCTAAAGAACGAGCAACCACAATGTAAAAACTGCGGTCCAGGGCCAGGGTTCAGCGTTCGGGGCGCTTTCGACATTCCAAAGATCCTTCCTGGGGGCGGGGCCACGCTTGGCCAGAAGCGCCCCCCCCCCCCCCCCCACACCCCCAAATAGATTTGGAAGCGAATCTATTAGATTTTGGGCACTCCGGACTAATAGATTCGGGACCGGATCTATTAGATTTGCGCGGGGCGAGTTCGTAGATTTGAACCCGACTCTAATAGATTCGGGCATCCCAAGCTAGTAGATTCGAGGCCGACTCTAATAAATTTGGGCATCCCGAGGTAATAGATGTGGAGCCGATTCTGCTAGATTTGGGCATCCCAGACTAATAGATTTGGGGCCGAATCTAATAGATTGCGGGCCAGAACTAATACGGTTGGGACCGACTATAATAGATGTGGGAACCGTGGGCTAGTAGATTTGGGGGCCGATCTAGTCGATTTGGACACCCCAACTTAATAGATTTGGGGTGCGACCTAATAGATTTAGGCACCCCGAGCTAGTAGATTTGAGACCGACTCTGGTAGATTTGGATACCCCGAACTAGTAGATTTGGGGCCGAATCTAATAGATTTGGGCACCCCAAACAAATAGATTTGGAAACCGATCTAGTAGATTTGGGCACCCCGATCTAGTAGATGTCTGGGCCGATCTAGTAGATTTGTGTACCCCAAATTAGTATATGTGGGACCGAATCTAGTAGATCTGGGAATTCGAATCTAGTAGATGTGGGCACCCCGAACTAGTAGATGTGGGGCCGAATCTAGTAGATACGGGCACCCCGTAGTAGTAGATGTGGGGGGCCGACCTAGTAGATTTAGGCACCCCAACCTCATAGATTTGGGGCCGAATCTAATAGATTTGGGCACCCCGAACTAGTAGATTTGGGGCCCGAACTAATAGATTTGGGCAGCCCGATCTAGTAGATTTGGGCGCCCCAAACTAGTAGATTTGGGA